TCAGATCATGCTCAACTTCCCTCTCAGAAGTTCTTTCAGTCAGACGCAACTCTTGTGCCTCTAGACTGCTTTGCAACTCTTACTCTCATGGTATCTAGATCTTTAGAATTTTCAATTGCTACAACAATGTAATCAAATTGAGGAGTAAGCGACTTCAATATCTTATCAATCATAACTTGTTTAGAAAGGGTTTCTCCATAATCCTTCATCTTATTAGTGATCAGAATCACTCTAGAGATGTACTCAAAAATCTTCTCATTGTCCTTCATGTTGAGATTCTCATATTTCTTTCTTAGGGATTGAAGCTTCACCTTCTTCATTGATGTGTAACCACTGTAACACCTACTCAGTGTGTCTCACGCAGCCTTTATCATCATTGAATCAATAATTTTCTCAAACACATTCTCATCCACACACTGATGGATGAAGAACAACACCTTCTGATCTTTCTTCCTTGTATCTCTCTCTGCGTATTTCTCTGTTCTTCTGTCGCATCTGCTGCAACTGGAACATAATCATTTGTAACAAGCTCAAGAGCATCTTAAGCGTCAAACAACACACGCATATATATCATCCAACGGTTCTAGTTTTTTTCATTAAATACTGGAAGCTTGGTGCTTAAACTAACTACCATTTCCGGTCATCTTCAACCTTGTAAAAAACACTCTGATATCACAAACACAGTGTTTCCTAATCCCACAAAATCAGAAAATGTGATCCTGTTTAGATTTTGTTCAAGATTCAACACGAATTCAAGAACCAAAATCAATCACACAACGCCTCATAGTTTCACTCGTGTTTCTCGTGAGTTCAACCAGAGCTCTAGATACCAATATTTAGTGCACAAGGTTAATAAATGAAGGAAATGTAAGAGATAATATATTTACTGCAATGACGGCTATAAAGCTTACAAAAGGAATGATTGTTATTGTGTGATATTTACAACTAGTCTATTTATACACAAAAGAGAATGTCACATAGAGTCTAATAGAATAGACTTAATAACTAAGTTATCTAAAACAATTATAAATACTAAAATACCCTTTAATACCATCTCTTAATTTAAAATTTCTAATTAAAACTAACTACACCAATTCCATCCCTTAAACAGATATAGTGTTCAGTCTTGACATCCTTCGTCAGAACATCTGCAAGTTGCTTCTGGTTGCTACAGTGTGTAACTTCTAATACTGTATTTAGGAATGCAGATTTCTCTTTGAAAATCCATCTGACGCTGAGGGCTTTATTCCCCTTTGGAATTTCAGTTAACTCCCAAGTCTTGTTTCTTTGTGGCCTCTGGACTTGTTAAGAATCTCCTTCTGATTCTGTAACAGAATCTCCTTCTGGACTTTCTTCAGAAGTTCGACTACCACTTGAAGCTCAACCTTTGTTAGCTTTTGGACTTTGTTCTGAACCACTACCTTCAAAAGTACCATCTTCAAAAGTTGGATCGCCTTCAGAATCTCTTCTTTCAAAAGTTCCACCTTCAGAATCATGACCACCTTCAGAAGTTGATTCACCTTCAGAAGCTCCTCCTTTAGAATGTCCACCTTCAGAATCATGATTACCACCTGAAACATGATCATCTTTAGAATCTTTTGCATCACCTTTTGATTCTGACTCATATTCAAACACTCCTTCAGAGTCAGACTATTCAGAATCATCTTCTTCCCCTTCAGAACCAGAAAATGATAATCTCACAGGTTCCTCATCAGATTCATCATCCATTAATAGCACAGGTTCATCATCTGAATTTCCTTTGGCTATTTTTCTTCTTCTTTTTTTAACCAATAATCTTTAGCAAAGTGGTCAAATCTATTACAATAGTAACCTTGAATCATTCTCTTATCATACTTCTATTTTCCCTTCTGATGTTTCTTTTCATCAGAATAAAAGACTTCTGACTTCTGGGAACTACCACCATTTCTCTTCTGCTTCTGGTCTTTCTTGACAAAAGAAGCCTTCAGAGCCTAGTCAACTTCCCTCTCAGAAGTTCTTTCAGTCAGACGCAACTCTTGCACCTCTAGACTGCTTTGCAGCTCTTCTATTTTCATGGTATCCAGATCTTTAGAATGTTCAATTGCTACAACAATGTAATCAAATTGAGGAGTAAGCGACTTCAATATCTTCTCAATCATTACTTGTTCAGAAAGGGTTTATCCACAAGCCTTCATCTCATTAATGATCATAATCACTCTAGAGATGTACTCAGAAACCTTCTCGTTGTCCTTCATGTTGAGATTCTCATATTGCTTTCTTAGGGACTGAAGCTTCACCTTCTTCACTGATGCGTTACCATCGTAACACCTACTCAGTGTGTCCCACGCAGCCTTCGCCATCGTCGAATCAACAATTTTCTCAAACACATTCTCATCCACACACTGATGGATGAAGAACAATGCCTTTTGATCTTTCTTCCTTGTATCTCTCTGCGCATTTCTCCGTTCCTCTGTCGCATTTGCTGCAACTTAAACATAACCATTTGTAACAAGCTCAAGAACATCTTGAGTGCCAAACAACACACGCTTATGAATCATCCAACGTATCTAGTTTTTTCCATTAAATATTGAAAACTTGGTGCTTAGAATACCATTTCCGGTCATCTTCAACCTTGTACAGAACACTCAGATCTCACAAGTACAGTGTTTCTCAATCCCACGGAATTAGAAAATGTGATTCTGTTCAGATTTTGTTCAAGATTCAACACGAATTCAAGAACCAAAATCAATCACACAACGGTTCACTGTTTCACTCGTGTTTCCCGTGAATCCAACCGGAACTCTAGATACCAATTGTTAGTGCACAAAGTTAATAAATGAAAGAAAGATAAGAGAGAATATATTTTCTGCAATGACGGCTATAAAGCTTACAAAAAGAATCATTTTTATTGTGTGACATTTACAACTAATCTATTTATATACAAAAGAAAATGTTACATAGATCTTAATAAAATAGACTTAATAACTAAGTTATCTGAAAATAATTAGAAATAATAAAATATCATTTAATACTATGTACGATTTTCTAATAGGGACACTCGTAACTCATTATTATTTAAATTATAAACATATAATTATGTGATTCATTTTGTGTGGGTTACTAGTCTGGTTAACAATTATTGCCTTTATAATGCATCATTTAGGTTTGTCTATAATTTACTAATTAACTTTTGTTTGGAGGTTTAGTTTTCACTACTCAAAATCATATATACTCCATCCTTTCGTGTCTTTTCATGAGTAAATACAAGACCTAAAGAATATATTATGTAGATATTATTACACATCATCACTTTATAATTCTCAAACTTAATTAGGTTATTATTTTTAGTCCATCAAACAAAAGAATAGAATATGCAAAAATTATTAAATAAATCACCTGTTAGATATTCATTCCAATTGTACTTGAACAGGAACATGCCTGTCCTAATATTAGCTTCTTCTCACAGCCAAGCATGCTTTTATAATTTGATACCTTATGTCTTTTTCTTTCACAAAATCAAAGTACTATTCTTCTTGTATTTCGAACCTTGTAACTTTTTATTATGGACTCTCCACCATGCTAGAGCTAAAGAATTTCTTTGTTGTATTTGTGAATCTTATTCTTGTAGACTTGACCCTACTATCCACTCATAATGCAAATGAAATTAATGTACACAAATGCAGATAGATATAGTTGTATAATTGCATACACACACGTGTGCCTAACCATGTGTTCATTGTTTGTATACAAGGTAGCAAGCATGTGCTTTGTGATTTATATAATTTGCTTTAGAACATGATTTAAAGGTTTCCTTATATTGTTGTTTTGTTTTTCATGTTTTTTATACCACTAAGTTACAATAAAAAATATACTCATAAATATGATATTTCAATTTTCAATGCATCTTTAAAATAGTTTAATTTAAGTGGTTTACCATAATATTTTCAAATAAAGATACCAAAAATGCACTAATTAATCTAGAAATGAAAGATCACATCAAGCACTCTACGGGGTATGATGATTAGGTTTAATCAAACATATCAAACAAAAACTTCCTTTCAATAAATTTAAGAAGCATTTAGTTTGTGAGTGGAAATTCATAACACACTACCAACGGTTAAATATAGTTGATGCCTTTCTCACTTTTTCCCCTTAGCTAGGTCTCATCTTCTTCTAGCAAAACAATCAATCTATACAAGAAGAAAAAAAAGCAAGCAATAAGAGAGAAAAGCATAATCTTAAATGCTTCTACTTTCTTCTCCTTCACTAGCTAATTAAAATGGGGACAAGATGCTCTCATCAAATATCAATCATTCCATTCATCTTTTTTTTCTTCTCCACTTCATATAACTTTTAGTATAGGGTCCCTCCACATACAAATAATGCCACAATATTGTATTCAGAATCTACAACCCATTTAATTTTTAATATATAATAAAATAAAGTAGTTCCATAAGAATCAATCCTTTTGGTCCTCACTAAAATATTCTTCTTTTGTTGGAGCCATCTTCAACGCCCAAAATCAATGTGATGGATGATATTTAAAAAAAAAACAAATTCCAAAAGCATGTATAAGAATTATTGCGCGCCTAACGCACCTAAAAAAAAATGTCGATATTATATCTATATTACCGTAAACCGTCTATCTGATGTTATTTCAATAAAAATATATAAATATTATACTATATTATCGTAAATCGTCTGTCAGATGACAATTTAGTAATAAGAATCTGATCTTATAATTATAATTGATTGAGTTTACGATTAAATTTTTTATTACGAATCATATATAAAATAAAAAGAAAAAGAAGTAGCATATAAGTAAAAGAAGAAAGTGAGAGATATATAGAATCTACAAATTACTTATCTAGAAGAAAAACAAAAACATTAAGATAATTTGTTATCCACTATACAATGAGTCTCTCATTTATATTACATCACAACAAAAGAGAGACTATTATATGATGTATTTTTATGCTCCATCTTAGCCCTTAACTAAGCTACTTAACTTAACAATAACACTATAACTCAAATGGTTTCTTTACTTCTTTAGTTGACAACTTGCAAGAATCAGAAGTTTTAGGTTCTGCCTGAATCAGAAGCTGAACAACCTCTTTCATGGTTGGTCTACTAGCTGGTGCTTTGTAACTGCATCGGATCGCAATTCTCAAAACTTTAACCATGTCATCTTTGAATGAACATGATAGCTTTGGATCAAAAACTTCACTTGGTCTAGCTCCTTCTTTGCCTTCAACTTTGTTTGAAACCCAAAATACAATGTTTCTGTTTTCTCCAAACTCTGACTCTATTGGCTTTCTCCCAGTTAACAGTTCCATCAAAATCACTCCAAAACTGTACACATCACACTTTGTTGTGGCCCTTGGTGAATATGCATATTCTGTCACATTCATCAAAATAAATATTCAAAAATTTACAATATCATAATAAGATTACTAAGTAATGAGCTTATTTACCTGGTGCTAGGTAACCATAAGTTCCTGCAATAACAGTAGTTGTGGAATCCTTTCCACTTCTTGCTTGCAAAACCTTAGCAATTCCAAAATCAGCAACCTTAGGATGATAATCTTCATCCAAGAGAATATTAGTTGACTTAATATCTCTATGGATAATAGGAAAAACCAAATCATGATGAAGGTATGCAAGACCTTGAGCAATTCCAAGTGCAATCCTATGCCTTGTAGGCCAATCCAAATGAATCCAACCCTTGTGAAGTGAATCATATAAAGTTCCATTTGGCATGTACTCATAAACCAACAAACTAGAATCCAAACTTGAGAAACAACAATATAACTTAACTATATTCTTGTGCCTTATGCTTCCAAGAGTTTCCACCTCAGCTTTCAATGCTTTGTCCACAAATAACGCGTCTTCGGGCGACGAGTCCTTCGAGCTTCGGCTCCAAAGGCGTTTAACCGCGACAGCATCGCCACTCTTGAGCTCGATTTTGTAGACTGTCCCTGACCCTCCATGTCCCATAATGTTCTTATCAACCAAAGACTCAACAATCTCTCTTTGATCAAAGCTAATCATGTGAAAGCTCTTGACATCATAAGAGAAAAAGGATGAAGAGAGCGTGTCTTCGTGATCAACCGCAGCCGCGTCTTTGCTGCATCTTTTCTTCAAGAACAAAGCAGCACCTACAAAAATCAATATCACAGACACACCAGCTACCCAGATGGTGTTCATCTTCTTACTCTTGTAACCATGTGAACATAATGGAAAGTTTTTTTGATCAGATGAATTCGCAGACACCGGAATCACCACGCATAAACCAGGATTTCCTGCAAAGCTTTCAACTAAACCTCCTTTAATCAGTTTAGGAGGAATTGGACCAGAAAGAAGATTGTGTGAGAAGTTAATCGAATTCGGCAACAAGACGGATAAACTTTCGGGGATGTTTCCGGTTAAGAGATTATTGGAAAGATCAAGAAGGTTGAGTGAATACAAAGAAGAAAGTGAACCAGGAATACAAGAGTTCAACTTGTTACCTTGCAGCATAAGCAAGTTAAGCTTTCTAAGGTTACCAATCTCAGAAGGGATTGGACCATATAGAAAGTTATAACTGAAATCAATTTTGACAAGGCTATAAGCTCTAGAGATTGTTGGTGTTATCTCTCCTGATATCTTGTTCCTCTGAAGGAAAAGTTCAGACAGGTTTCTAGAGTTTCCGTTGATCTCCGGAATTGGACCGGTTAAATTGTTACTACTCAAATCAATGATTGAAACATGAGGTAAACTCAATAGTCCTTTTGGAACTGAACCTTGTAAACGGTTATTACTCACCCGAAAGCGTAACAGAAACACGCAGTTCGCGTAACTTTCTGGTATAAAACCAGATAAAAAGTTGTCCAAAACAAGAAAATATAACAGTTTACCTCCTTCGCAGACATGTTCTGGTAAAGGACCAGACAATTTGTTTTCAGACAAATCAACAAGAACCATTCCTGAGAACTGGCCTAGTTTCTTCGGAATGTGTCCGCTTAAGAAATTGTCGTAAAGAGACAACATTCTCAGTGTTGTTGAGGTTTCAATTTCATCTGGTATTTGACCTGTGAGACTGTTGTTGTACAGCTGAAGAACTTGAAGCTTAGGAAGTTTACAAACAGAAGAAGGGATTGTTCCGGTTAGCTTGTTTACCGATATATCCAAATCGATTAGTTCGGTTAAGTTTCCTAGCTCTTCTGGAACGTTACCAACTAGGTGGTAGTTATAGTATAGTTCAAGCTGTTGCAAGTTTTTCAACAAACCAAGTTCTTTTGGAATTTGACCTGTCAAGAAATTTCCACTTAGTTCAAGATCAATGAGAGTTGTTATGTTTGATATGGATGGTGGAATTTGACCATGCAGCATGCATGTTGATAAAACCATTGACTTGAGATTTTTCAATCTTTCAAAGCTTTTTGGTAATTCCCATAGATTGAAACCACTGTTTTCATTGAAGTTGAGAATTTCGAGGTCTGTGAGATTGAAAACTGACATAGGGAAGTCCCCGGTGAAGGAGTTGTATGATAAGTCGACGATTCTGAGAGATTTTAAAGACGAGAAATCCGGAAGTGTTCCTGACTGGTGCATCTGATTCATGATCAATTCTTCTAATTTAGAACAGTTGGTTATGCTGTTTATTGGAAACTTGAGTTTTGTGTTACCGAGGTTTAGGACGCGTAAACTTGGAAGGTAAGTACAAAAGTCTATAGGGAAGTTTCCCGAAAGAGAAGACCAACCTGAAAAATCGAGTTTTATAATATCGCCTTTGTCATCGCAGGTGATTCCGGTGAAATCACATACTGGTTTTTCGACCTTGCTTGCGCCCCAATCAAAAGGATAGTTTCCTGAAAGAGAGTCTTTCATGACAGAAAAAAACTGAGTTTGGTTTGTAGTGATAGCATGTGATATATTTGTGATGAAAACAAGAAGTATGAGTCTAAAGAAGTGAGCCATTTTGGTTTTGAGGAGGGAAAGAAAGAGAGTGGAATTTGAAGTGTAAGAGATTTTGCAAAGAAAGAGAAGAGTGAGAGGTGTATATAAGATGGAAAGATTTGAGTGGATGAGTTTGGGAAAAGCAGGTTCTTGTTGTAGTATTAGTATTGGGAGAGAGGGGTGAACATCTTTTGGTAAAGACACTTTATGTTTATACTCTATTCCACTATGTGTAAAGAGAATAAAGGTTGATTATATTAGGGTGTAGGGATAAAAAAGGAAGTGAAATAATTGTGGAGGGGAAAATAATTGTCTTTATGATAGATGCAAGAGAGAAAAAAGAAAGGAAAATTGAAGATTTTAAGAAAGGAATTGTGATGGGGATATGATGGAATAAGAAATATTATAAGAGGAGATATAAGAAAGGAATTGAAATGATAATAATTGGAGAATGTATTTTTGTGAAAGTATACTTTATGCTAATATATCATGAAGAATAAAACATCATGTGATTCTAATAACTGTTTGTTTCATAGAGTTTAGATAATCTTTTATAGTGCATTGGTGTAATAAGTTTTTATGTGTATAAGATTTTGAAGTGAAATTGAAATCTAAAAATTGGTAGTTACAACAAACAATTAATTAGTTAAGTTGATTAATTAGTAGTGTATAAATAACTATCATGTGAACATTAGTGTATCATAACAAGCAAATGAGAAGAGCAATCAATTAATACACCCAAATTAATTATGTTTATCTTTTTCTCTTTTTTATGGGTGTCCACTTCTAACATGTGGTATCTTGAGTTTCAAACTCTTTGTGCTCCGAAATATATTAAATTTGGTGTTTACTATACATATTCATTCGACGAACAATGACATGTTCTATGGAGAATTTTGAAAACAATTTTAGTCTGAAATACTTTGTTCATGGCTAGAAGAATTTGAATAGATGGAGCAAGCAAATGAAGGTGATCTTTATTCAAAGATGTGATGAAAATAGTGCAAACACGCATGTAATATCTTCTCAATGTTGCATCAAATGTTTATGTTGTTGTCCATAAAAAATCGAAGAATAAAGATTTTAAGGCGATGTTCTTCATCTATCAATGTGTTAATAGTGTCAATTTCTATAAAAAAATGTGAATGCTAATTCATTGAAGGAGGCGTTGAAAAAGGTCATGAAGGTGATGAAAAATTTAACAAAGTTCGTTTATAAATATTGAAAATAAAATTCGAGTTGTTGCAAATCGAAAAGAATGAGAAGGTTATTATTTAGTACTTTAACAAAATCAGTATGACCACCAATGAGATGAAGAGATTTGGTGAAGTTGTTTTAGATCAAGCCACTATGAACAAAGGGACACACATTGTCTCCTATGAATTCGGTTACATTATTGTGACAATTGAGGAATTAAATAATTTATTCGTAATGAAGTTTAAGAAATTACAGTGTTCTTTAGAAGCACATGAACATATTGTGCTTGAAAGTACCAAAGAAAGAGTTACTAGCAGGCTGTGTAGGCTCCAACATCCACTTGTTAGATTAATGGTAGACGTGTCTAACTTCTTGCAATTGAGTCTTATTCAACTAGATTTCAAATATGTATTTCTCAATAGTTACATGGAGAAGGAAGTTTATGTTGAACAACCTTAATGATTCATTGTGAAAGTTGAAGAAGATAAGGTCTTGAAACTTAATAAGACTCTATATGCCTAGAAACAAACTCCAAGTGTCATAAGTAAGAGGATTGATAAGTTATTATAACATATTGGTTATTTCAAATATACAGTAGAACATGAAATTCTGTAAAAGGATTGAATCAAGTCAATCTTATCATGGTGTGTCTATATATGGATGATCTACTTGTCACCAGAAGCAATCACATTCTCAATTTCATTATGGACATTGAATTTTACACGATCTATTTAGGAGGACTAACTTACTTCCTTAGTCTTGAATTTAGTGCAATCATGAAAGACATGGTATTTCATTAGAGAAAGTACTTCAATGTCATCTTGAAGAAATTTAATATGCTGAAATGCAATTCAAGAAGTATCCCCTGTGAAATTAAATTAAAATTGAAGGAAAGATGAAGATGACCAGGTTGTCGGTAACACTTTAAATAAGAAAAAGGTGGAATGTTTGAGGTACATATTGTTAGACGACGACGCCTTATCTAGAGGGGAGGGGGGTGAATAGATCACCAAGCCAAAAATCTATATAAGAATTTAGGTTTTAAAAGTAGTTCAAAAAGAGTGCACGCGTAAGGTTTTGATATAGATAAAAATTACCGTTTATAAAACCAAGTTATTAGAAGTCGGATATGAAAATATAAAGAGATATATGAAATTAACGATATAATATTGAATTTACAAACTTCAATCAAGTAATAAAGTATTAATCGTTTATAGCAAGTTACTAGCAACTCTATTTCCAATTGTAACTAACAAAAAAACAAACTAAATAATTTCTCAAACACTTGATTTGCAACCAAATTTTCAGAATTTTCCTATGAGTTGTGTTGATACAAAAAACAATTATAATGAAAAGTGATTATAGGAAAATCAACACACAATTTAAAACAAAAACAATCACGGAAAAATCTTACGAGTCGATCGATTACTCAATGCTATTAGACAAATTGATAAATGAAAATTAAATCAAGTAAAGCGATAAGAAAAACAGACACGAGAATTTGTTTAGAAAGTTTCCCAATCGTCCTCACTATGGCTACGTCTCCCCCCAATTCCAAACTTGGAATTAGGATAAATTCTTATTATGCAAAAAGTCGTTACAAGAGAAGTGTTCCAAGAGAAAACCTATAAAGCCTAACCATTTGTTATTGATTCAACCCCTTCTCTTCTTTTGATCTTGATAAATACCAAGACACAATAACTGCCAATTGATTTATCGAATCTTACTACCCCTTTTTATACTTTATCTCCAAAGCTTTCATGATCAATCAGTTGTACCTATTGCACACAAGACTTCAATTTGATTTGTCGTTATCGCACTATTTCCATTGCAATATTTATCTCCAATGTTCCCTTGTGTTCTTTATCTCAAAAGGCTTTCACTAGGCCACAATCCTCTCTTGAATGTCTTACACAAAAACCCCAAAATCTATCAATGATCTTGGAGGTTAAACCCGCAGTTTTTTCGGATGAAACCTCCTCCAAATCTTAACCTAATATTATCGGATACGCAAGAACCTAATTGAATGTTATCAAACCTCTCATAGATGGAACCCCGATAAAAAATGATTATGTGTGATTTATCAGTGTGTTGCATAAGTTGGAGGTTCACGATGAAGAGTAAATGCACTATGTGTTTATAGTTTCATCAAGTTGAAATGATGCATGAATGATGTGAAGAATGGAAAAACACAAGAAGGGGGGTTTGAATTGGAGTTTTTAAAATTAAAACAGTATACACATTAGTTATCCTGGTTTGTTTGAACTCAAACTACTCCAGTCCACCCGCCAAGGTGATTTCACCTCTCTCAAATAAGGTTTAATCCACTAATCAAAACTTAATTACACATATACAATGACTATTGTTAATGTCTTCTTGAGTTTAAACCACAACTCGATTTTCTCAAGGTAATATAAAATAAACCAAATAAGAGTGTGTACAAGGATGTTTCTAAACAAAACTATATCACAACAGTGATGTATACACAATTGTAGTGATGTATACACAATTGTAAAGCACAAGATATAACTGGGTAAAAATATTTTTCTTTCAGTGCGCAATAGTGTAGTAGTTTTTTTCTTCTTCAAGTCTTCTTTATATAGGCGAGACATGAGAGACAAGAGAAGTTGTTTTTGGAAGGTTGATAAAGTGTTGTTAATGCACTTTCCAAAAATATAGATCTTTGTCTTGGTTCAGCCATTACTTTTTGATTTGTAATGAATGTGTTGTAACGGATCAGAGCGTTGCTTCCTTGGGATCTTATTAGAATAAGAATATTACAGTTGAGACTTTAGGTCATCAGAGTTTCTTGATATCATTAGAACTTGGATGATATGTTGAAGCTTCTTTTGCATTTTAGAGTATTTACTATCAGAGTGTAGCTTAAGTGCTGATTCTTTAGAACATTTGAATAGATGAGTGCGTTGAGACTTATTTTATTCTTCTAGAACTTTACTTATCAGAATATCAGAGCTTTTGTTTGCAGCGTTGGTGCTTCAGAAGTTGTAATATCAGAACTTCTTCTATTTAGCATTTAACACAGATTTGCTTCTGAGTGTGTTGTGTCTTAAACAGAGCTTCAAAACTTAAATCTCATCGTCTTCTATACTTCTTTTATCATAATTATTCTGCATATTCAAAAAACTATTACAAGGATGTAGAACCAAACTATTTTCTAACATGATGTATTTATAATTGTGGAAGTTTAGATGCAAAGAAGTAATTTTTGGAATTAAAAAGAATTAAAAAATTAACCCAATTCCACAGTATGTGTCGACCTGTAAAACAGATGTGTCGGCCTAAGAATGGCATTATCGTTTTCCTTCAAATACTGCAATGCATGTGTCAACTTGAAATTCGTATGTACCGACACATAAAATAAGAAATTCTGTAATTTTTGAAAGCTTCAGTATGTGTTGGTCTATATGCATGCATGTGCCGACCTAAGCCCTCCAAAGGATGCAGGCTTAAAAATTGGGTTGCATGTGCCGACCTGAAATACATATGTGTCGACACATGCAAGAAAAAAATATGCTGAAACTTGTTTTTCAAGACTTTGGTCAATTTCAAAATGGTTTTTAATGATTCCTAAGACCTCTAATGCAAGGTAGTTCCACAAGACATAGTGATATCGTCCAATATACAAAAATACTAAGTTTTCTTAGTTTTGACATCATGCAAAACATCTATTGATGAAGTTGTACTCACATACTCCCCCTTTTTGATGATGATAAAACTTGCAACGATGCATTTCATGTAGTTATGGAAGGCTCCCCATGAATTTGTGCTTCCCAACTTCATCTCGCATATGCTTCTCCCCCTTT